AACTTATTTCTGAAATTTACGTGCTTACTTTAATTCAATTTAATTCAAATAATTATATTGAAATTTTCGGCTCTTGTTTTGAAACATGAGAACTCTTATGTAGCGTGTTGGAATCATATTTTTAAATAAATAATTATATATACATATATATCCTTAGTTAACACGACCGTTACGGCGTTCCAATACATATTAAATAATGGACTATTCCGTTTTGATAGTGTGGAAAGACGCAAGAGACACTGAGAAAATGAAAAAAAAGGAACTAAAGAAAGAAGGGAAGATGTCTTTAACATTTGGTTTCAATGAAATGAAAAATTTGTCAACTTCAGTTTTTTTTTTTTGCATTTCTTACTTCTTCAAATAACAACCAGCATTCATATTTATGATTGTTATTGCAATATTATGTTAAAGTTTTTTAAGCTCAAACATTTAACGATCGATAGGGGAAGTTTCTACGAATATTTTATTTCCGTAGAACTCGCCATAACTTTATCCAATCATTAACTTAATAATAAAGATTCATCAGAAAATTTCAATAATAAAACCATCAAATTTCCACCGGTATTTCTAGTAATATTTTCAAAGTTTTTGTCGTATTTTTTACAGCTTGTGTGCATATAAAATCCACATACTCTACAAAAATGTAGGACAAAAACTGTTTTTTTTTTACATAGGTTTTATTTTGTATCTTTGTTTATTTTTTTTTGTTTTTTCTTTGTTTTTTTGTTTTTGTTTTTTTTATGACAGAACCGGAAAACCACTTCCCTAAATTTAAAGTATAAGAATCTTTTGAGAACCATGATCATCTACGTCCTGAAGAGACATGGCATAGATAGGTCGGTCAATATTCTTGCAGTAATCGTCTTTCTTACTGAAAAATGGTTATTCTCAGGGGGAGACGTTCCTCCGCTACAGAATTAAAATTATGACTGTCTTCCTTTCACACGCACACACATACACATGCCATACTTATATACGAGATGAGTGATATAATAATGAGTGTGGGCCATAATTTTAATCTTGGAACCTTCTCTCCCACATAGTAACATCCGTTTTCTGTAATAAAGAGGATGACTGCAAAAATATTGACCCACCTATCTCTGCAGTTTTTGTTTTTAAAATACCGTGTCCGTTCAAGACGTAGGCCATCATAAGTCTTTGCAGATTCTTTCACTTTAAAACAAGTGAAAGGATTTTCCGGTACCGTCGCAATAAATAAGAACTCCAGCAGTGTTTTTTTTTTTTTTTTAGGAAACCCACGTGAAAAAAGAATACATTTTTCCACAGTTTGTGGGTGTAGAAAATAAATACCTAGAAAACTGAAGCCTACAATATATATATATATATATATATATATATATATATATATATATATGAAAACATAAACAGTTAAAACAAAACATGTTATAAACCGCTACATAAATGCAATCATGTTTCAACTCTACAGATACTTTTTCAGGCGGTTGTGATTAACTGGAGAATAAACGATAATTTTATGGTTTAAATTGTATGTATTAAAGTCTAAGTATTCAGCATTTTTAAAAAATATAACATTTGAATTAAGCTACCTTACACTTGGATATATATATATATATATATATATATATATATATAAAGAGAGAGAGAGAGAGAGTCATCCACAGACAGACCGTTTCGTTGTATCACAGTTCATCAGCGTGGCTAGTTGTCCGGTTGCCTCTAGCTAAGATCGAAACCCGACTGTATTGGTGTCAGTCGGGGAGTCTGCTAGGAAAGTTGGTTCACTCTTTCGTGCTTGACAATTTTCCTCTCCAGAATCTATGGGTGAAGGTGAATTTAACCGTATTTATTTTTAGATAAACACACTATGACTGAGAGAACTCGAAGAGTCTTGCATTATTAGCTATAATAGTCACTGTTTACAAACCCACACATCCTCCCCAGAGAGCTCAACCGAAATAAATTTTTCAGGAGCATATATATTGTCATCCACAGACAGACTGTTTCGGTGTATCACAGCTCATCAGTGTGGCTAGACATCCGGTTGCCTCTAGCTAAGATCGAAACCCGACTGAACTGGCGTAAAGGCTGTCCAAACTCACTTTTTGATTTCGTCATAAGTTTGGAT